TCCCACCCAAGTCAATATTTTGTATCTTGTCGGGGACTGGGTGGCGTTAATGTGGCTACAAATGATGGGTCGTTACCCACTCAAGTTAAGGTAAAAGGTTAAAACGTAGATCAATTTTGAAAGATACGGCGTACATTTCATCCTCTCCAAAGCTATACAGTTTCCAGCAAAGTTCCATTATGGGACGGCTGAAAAAAAGGATGTTACTAATAATTTTGTCATGGGCTTTCACTGTCCACAAAATGGCAGCATTCAGAAGCTTGAGCTAGTTATGCGACAAATTTTCTAGGTTTTCAATTAGTTCATTATTCGAAAGACAATTTTTTATGATAGTTGCCAAAACAATGACTGATCTGATTTTGATCTCCTGATGTTTTCTTAATCCATCTAGATCTAAAGACCAGTTTATATTTCAGTGTGTTGTTAATATCAACATTACGTTACGTTTTATCCCTGAATTCTTATTGTTTTTCTCCTCATTCCGAATAATTCCCAGTCATTCCTGTGCTTCAAGCCTCACTTCAATTTTATCATTTCAATTTTGCAAAGCTTCTGATGCATACGAGTACAATTTTGCTACTACTGAAAAAGAAAGTGTTTGGCTTTCTAATTCTCCATCTTGCTCAAAAAAATGTGGGAATCTTCCGAAGAAATGAAAGGAGCAATCAATTTAAAAAAAAATAACTCTATACGAATATGTGTAGATCATGCAAAGAAGTAACTTTCAGAAACAAACTGTCTTTACTTGCTCCTAGGAGAACAACAACCTCTATGTACTACATGCCAAACAGTAGTTACTAACAGTATAACTTGGTATGAAGCACGAAGAGTATTTGCCTGGAAAACTAATGGATCTATTGTTTCAAAAATCGGCTGTCATAATTGTTTTGACAAAAGTTAACTTGAGTTTCTTTTGCTCTTATGAAATTGGAACATTCTCTGAATTTGGCAAGGTTGCATAGGGCCTGAAATATTGTTATTTTGTTTTTTCAATTTGAATAACCCCGGTATGCACTACTTTTAGGATTTTACGTTATAATTAAATCCCGAAAATTCGAAAATTCAATAAAATTTATCAGAAGTTCAGTGATCAAATGTTTCTTATGAACCTGCTTCTTTCACCTGAAAACCGGCCTCATTATATAATCGTCACATGAATATTTAATATGGATGTTCCTCAAAAAACATTTCCCTTTCTTCAATAATCTCGCCAGATGGCAAGATTTATAAAAAATGTCACCAAAGAGCAAAATATTATATGAGTTCATGAGAGATGAAGTCAATTTATTCAAATATCCTTGAACATTTTCATATTCAAGGAAGGCTTGTTAATAAATCCAAATTTTGTGACGAATCACCAAGTCAATTAAATAATTGAAAAACTTGTTTTGCCCAATATAGCTAGCATGGTGTAATAAACTGTTAGTCAAATGGATGTGGTTTTGATTCATTAGAATTCAAAGTTCTAAAATCCGAATCAACATAGAAGCTGGATCTTGAAAGAAAAATAGTTATAATAATTATTCAACTATATATGTGGATTCGTAAAGTATTGCATTTCTGAGCAGAAGCGTTTTGTACTTGTTTTTTCGATTATTGTTACCACGGTACTGCTCTGTATGAAGTGAAGGTAAATAGACCCTAACAGGTAATGGAGATCCAACGAAACAGCAAGTAAGGCTGCAAAACTCACAAGATTCATTCAGATCAATATTATATAGGCAACAGTGGGTTCTGAGTCTAAGTTTGCTTCTTCACAATATATCATAAATTTTCTGAAAGGAATATAGGGTCTCACAATAGGGACTTCCCAACTTTGATAATTGATAACGGCCATCTTGTTAAGGCTACATCTGTCAAATTAGCTGTAATTTATTCAGTTTTTACCAAATCACCATGGACGGATGAAGCACTTAACAACGTGTGCAAATGATAGAATTGTTTTATCAAAATGAATGTTCTGATCGAACAACGTAGCGCGCGCTTTGTCCATTTTACGGTCACCATAATTGTCCTACCAAGAGGACTATTTGCAATGTGGTGGATGAATATGAGTCTACTGATTCAGTGAATGATCGACCAACTCCTTTCGCAGACCACAACTTGGCGAATTTCTCGACGTGACTTGGGTCTGCGCCTGTTCAAAATTCAACTGACCCAGGATGGTAAACGACCATATACAATAGCCCACCATACATACAGAGGTTTGTCTGAAGACTTTATCCAGCACGGTTTCAGTCTGTCGACAAATCTGTGCGTTAATGGTTGAGCACGGGCCAGTCACGCTACGGTCTTATCATGCAGAGACTTGTCTGAAAGTTAAAGTCGACAGTTGTTTCTTGGTACCATACATTAACAGTTTTTTCTGTGACGGGTTGAGCAAGAGGGCTCAAATTATTATGTGAAAATATGGAGGAAAGCATAGACATTCGTTTTATGGGCAAAGAGTTTTGAACTGAGTTCATAGAAATGTATAAAAGTCATCCAGCTTTATGGAAAATGAAGTCAAATGACTATGTCAACAAAAATTTGAAGAATAAGGGTTATGAAGCTTTGATTCAATATTGCGAAAAAGTGTATTCTGGTGCGGACCGGAATAACAGAACATATATGTGGTATTATGAAGCCTAGTGCTTGAGCAAAAATTCCAACGGAGTATTTTAGATCTTCATAAGATCTGCCTGTTGCAAGAAATCTAAGCGTTGCTACCAAACGTTTCTCTGGAGATTGGTTCTCGCATGGCAGAGTGCTGCTTTGTTAATTTTTCTTTCACCATAGACAATAATGTCTCAAAAGTTGCAGTATCCATTCTCCAATAGTTTCCAAAATCATGAGGTTCGTTTTGCCTCAATTGCTTTAATAAAGGCAAATGACTCAGAGTTTCTTTTTCCAGTAGCCATTTTTTCACGCAGTTGCTTCTGCGTTGTGTGATCATAGAGTAAAAAGTATTTGTCAGAAGATGTATATTAATCATACCCAAACACAATGCAACTTGTGTTTGGGTATGTTTTGTATTTCTGCTAAACATTTTGTCAACAACAACTATACATATGTCACCAACAACTGGAAAGACATCACTGAAAACTTGTATTAAGATTGAATTCCACAGTTTTGACAAAGTTGGCAGACAAGCTGAAAGATTTTGCCACTAACTAACAGTTTTGTCTGCAACAGATTAAATACGTCAGAGTTGTCTGCGGACATATCTTGTCAAGTTAGTTGAGTAACAAAGAAGTTTGTCACATGCCGAATCCGCGAAAGACCGCAGACTGAAACCGTGCTGGATAAAGTCCTCAGACAAACCTCTGTGTGTATGGCGGGCTAATGATGTGTGTTCGCTGAATGAGCTCTGGAGCAGTTGGCAACTGATCCTAATTTTCATCGAAAAATCTTCTTTAGCGATGAGGCCCATTTCTGAATGAATGGGTATGTGAACAAAAAAATTGTCAATGAGATCCAAGAGCGTCTAATACATCCCGAAAAAGTTATTGTTTGGTGTGGATTTTGGGCTGGCGGCATCATCAGTCCATATTTTTTTGAAAACGATGTTGGCCAGGACATCACTGTCAACGGCGACCACTATAGGTCGATGTTCATTAACTTCTTCAGGCCTGAAATGGATGATCTGGATACCACATGGACATGTGGTCGCTACGTGCCACACAACTCATGTTACATTGGACTGTTTCTTGCGGGGTTTTCTCAAGTCACAGGTGTATGCCAATAAGCCACAAACCACAGCGGTTCACAAAGCCAACATAAACAATGCCATCGGTCAAATTAAGCCTGAATTATGCATCAGAGTCATGGAAAATTTGACATTTCGGATGTGCTCCACCTAGAGAAGTCGTTGCGGACATTTGAACGATGTTATATTCCTCACATAATGCCATAAATAGGTTTTTGAAATGAATAAAACATTTTATTTAAATTTAAAAGTAGGAAGCGCTTAAAGAAAGAAACCTATAAAAGAATGTCCAAACTCACTTCAGGAAAAGGTTTTGGAAGACAATATAGCATATGATAGTCTCAACCACTCCATGTTTCATCAACTCCATCACTTCAATGGTTCAAATGGCATCAAATCATCAAAAGTGATTTTAATGACAAACTTACAAAGTAATGAAATAGAAAATTTTGAAAAATGTTATCCCGAGATCATCTCTGAAACTTCCCTCAATTTTTCTGCTCAAATTGCCTAAAAATATTTTCGGTCATAGTTTTTGAGCTCTCCGAAGATGATCACTTGGTGACCGAAACACGTGTCGTAGTATTAAAAATAACGATTTGGTGTTGGGGAAAAAACTCCAGTAATATTAACCAAGAGGTTAACTGAATTAGGGCATTTGATGCCGTATTTTGTACAAGAAATAATTTTATTCAATAATATTGCTTCATAAAATTGATATGAAGAGAATTGAGCTATGCCTCATACCTGGAATTCGATTCAAAAGATGCAAGCAAAGGCCCTGATGATTTCTTGAAAATTCTTATCTATTTATATCTACAAACCCATTATTCGGGTTTGTAAAATTCAATAAAGGATTTTGTTGGCCCAAAAAAAACACAAAATAGGGATTTCAAAAAGCATATTGAAGTCTGAGAATTGATATATAAAAAAAGTAGAATTTTCTACAAAAAGTTTCAATGAACTGTCTAGAACTATTCCTGTTGAATACGTTCCAACTAGACAGCAAGGCAGATTTTCGGAGTGAAGAAGAAAACTATGAACATAAAAAAGATGACGTAGATCAAATTTAAAGGGTAACAATGTGTTTTTCTGGAGTAGTTAGGACGGTTGCTACTTGTTTAACTGGTTAAAATTTGACACACTGGATTTTTTCAATTCAATCATTTCTCTTCTTTCAGGACTCAAATCGTTCAATCTGTTCAGAAAAGAAAATCTGAACGTGTATTATGTCCGGCTGTTGGAAATCTCAGCACACAGTTATGATTGGCCAACATCGTGTTGAACTATGTTGATGTAATATCACTTCACGCAAAGTATTACCAATAAATATATTCTAGAATAGATATTCTTACAATTATTATCCTTAGTCTAAAAACAGTTCATATCAACATAACAATATCTTATTTGAGTAGCTACACTAGTATTCATTTACGTAATGTTGTTGAGGCGGCCTTCTTTGCTGAAGAGAAATATTTATTTCTTCGGGAGATCTGAATATCTGTCCATGGGATGCGGAATGTGATCTCAATGTTGTTGGTGAAACTTGTTGACGGGGTTGAGATGTTACGCGAACCTGTAAAGTATATAAGATTCATTAATATGTCATAATGTAAGTATATTTATATCAATACAAGGGTGTAAAACATTTAAGGAGGTGATTTCTCTTCGAAAAAAAGATAGGATCTTTCATATAAAGAAATTTCATTGGAGCATCCCTTGTTAAGATACAGCCCCTTATAGCGGGTACATAAAATTTGTATAACAATTTTTTTCACAAGCACTAAAAAAGTTACAAATAGAAATTGACCTTACGTTTTGTACTACCAAAAAGACACTTAGCCTGAAATTTATTTGGTTCACCCCATGGTTGTAAGGGATGGAAAACGCAACCCCTAAAATTTATTTCCAATGTAACTTTTTGTCTTATTATTTGTTTACCATTTAAAAATGTATTTCCGATAGCCTGTTTCAATCTAAACAAAAAATGTCTCTTGGGTTTTTTGCCCAAAATAAACCAGTTCAAAGCAAAAAATTATTTTACGAACAACTACAGAGATACATCGTCATAAATGCGAACTGGATTTATTGTTATTTTGTAGTTAGTACCTGCATTAAACGATTAAAGGGTAATAAACAAAACTAATTTATTAATAACAAAACACACAACATGTAGAAATCATAGTAAATGTTCAATATGTC